ACTCGGGATATATTAATAACACCTCACCAGGGAGAAAAAAAAAAAGACCTGAGAGAGCAGCGGTCAAAACATTGTAACAAAAGCAGATATTCTAATAATCTGAGCCCAAAATAATCTCCTTATTTCTGCAATAATATTTTCTTCTCGGGGATTCAAGAGAGTGCATCGGTCGAAATGTTGTAATGATACAACAAATTTAGGAAAATGGGTCCCCAGATTATGCTAATGGTAACTCATCTGGGTGAGAAATTAAAAGTGAAAGAAGGTTGGAGATTATCGCAACCGAAACGTTGTATAAAAACAACAAAAGCGTGACAACAGGATACATATAATGCCTGTCATATACTAATAACATCTAATCTCAGATATTCGAGGAAAAAAGAAGACCGGAGACTTCATCGGTCAAAACGTTGTAATTAAGCGGCACATCTAGTGAAGCGGGTCCCAAATAATCAGTAACAAAATTTCTTCTCGAGAATTCAGGCAGAAAGAAGGCTGGAGAGTTCAGCGGCTGAAACGTTTTGATGAAAATAACAAAGCCGAGAATCTGATAAAAAAATGAATGTATATTAATACTAATGCGTCCTGGGTAAGACGATAAACTACATCCGCATCCTGGGTAAGATGATAAACTACGTCCGCATCCTGGGTAAGACGATAAACTACATCCGCGTCCTGGGTAAGACGATAAACTACGTCCAACAGCAAGGCCTCTGATAATACGTTTTTGAAAAAATAATGTTGCCAGCTGTACGTTTTTTTTTAACTTCGAGATAAAGACGAAACAGTGTTGCGTCCTGGGTAAGACGATAAACTACGTCCAACAGCAAAGCCTCTGATAATACGTTTTTGAAAGAATAATGTTTTCAGCTATACGTTTTTGAAAAAATGATATTACCGTCTATACGTTTTTGAAAAAATATTACCGGCTATACGTTATTTTAGAAAATGATATTACCAGCTATACGTTTTTGAAAAAAAAAAATTACCAGCTGTACATTTTTGATGGGAAATATTAACAGAAATAGATTTTTGACAAAACAAAATATTACCAGGAGAAAAAAGTTGTCAGTATTAAATGACCCATTGAGGTTGATATGCCGTAAAACAAAATAAACCTAACCAAACCTAATACTCTTAATAATAATAATTGTGCTTGTGTCTCCTGTCGCTGGCTCCTTTGTTCGCACGACCGTTACGCCCTGCTAATATACCATAAATAATTGATCGCAGGGAAAGACAAAAGATATATCATTCACGCTACTTAGTTTCAGTGAAAATGAAGAAATAAATGTTTCCTGCTAACACCACATAAATAATCGCGCACGATCGCGAATCCTGTGACCCATCAGGGTCGAAGGGACAGCCGCAGTAGAAGTAGTTTTTTGGGGGGCAAGATAGCCTGATGGTTTTGAATTCAGAGTTACCATTTCCATATAGAAGCCACTCTGTCCTGCTATTTACCCATAGCCGGGTGAGAAGAAGAGGATTAATATCTTTCTCAAAGGTATTAGCACGTAAGTGAATGTAATGGATCAGAATGGAATTCGAACTCGGCTCTCCGATTCCTCAATCCGAATTGCTATCCATTACTCCACTGTGCCTAAATAATAGACTATACCATTTTAATCGTGTAGGAAGACAAAAGACATATTAGAGACGCTACTTGGTTTCAGTGAGAAAATGAAAAAAAAGAAAAGGAAGATAGAAATGTTTAACGTCTGTTTCAGTGAAATGGAAAAAGTTGTCAGTTTCAAGTCTTTTCATTTGTACCCTCTTATTTCTTTAAAAATGACCGACATTCATTTCGTTATTGCAATATTTTGTTAAAGTTGTTAAGCTCAAATATTTAACGATACCATAGGGGAATTTTTACGAATATGTTATTGTCCTTTGAATTCGCCATGAGCTTATCAGTTCAGTCATTAACTGAAGAATTAAGATACATCAGAAATTTCAAATAGGAAAACCGTGATATTTTCATGGGTTAAAACTAGTCATCATTATTATTATCTATGTAAAACTAGCCATCATCATCATCTATATAAAACTAGCCATCATTATTATTATCTATATAAAACTAGACATCATTATTATCCATATAAAACTAGTCATCATCATCATCTATATAAAACTAGCCATCATTATTATTATATATATAAAACTAGACATCATCATTATTAGACCAGTTATTATTATCTATACTAGTCATCATCATCATCTATATAAAACTAGTCATTATTATTATCATCTATATAAAACTAGCCATCATTATTATTATATATATAAAACTAGACATCATCATCATCTATATAAAACTAGACATAGTTATTATTATCTATATAAAACTAGTCATCATCATCATCTATATAAAACTAGTCATTATTATTATCATCTATATAAAACTAGACATCATCATCATCTATATAAAACTAGTCATTATTATTATCATCTATATAAAACTAGCCATCATTATTATCCATATAAAACTAGACATCATCATCATCTATATAAAACTAGACATCATTATTATCCATATAAAACTAGACATCATCATCATCTATATAAAACTAGTCATTATTATTATCATCTATATAAAACTAGCCATCATTATTATTATCTATATAAAACTAGACATCATCATCATCTATATAAAACTAGACATCATCATCATCTATATAAAACTAGCCATCATTATTATTATCTATATAAAACTAGACATCATCATCATCTATATAAAACTAGTCATTATTATTATCATCTATATAAAACTAGCCATCATTATTATCCATATAAAACTAGACATCATCATCATCTATATAAAACTAGACATCATTATTATCCATATAAAACTAGACATCATCATCATCTATATAAAACTAGTCATTATTATTATCATCTATATAAAACTAGCCATCATTATTATTATCTATATAAAACTAGACATCATCATCATCTATATAAAACTAGACATCGTTATTATTATCTATATAAAACTAGCCATCATTATTATCCATATAAAACTAGACATCATCATCATCTATATAAAACTAGTCATCATTATTATCTATATAAAACTAGTCATCATTATTATCTATATAAAACTAGTCATCATCATCATCTATATAAAACTAGTCATCATTATTATCTATATAAAACTAGTCATCATCATCATCTATATAAAACTAGTCATCATTATTATCTATATAAAACTAGTCATCATCATAATCTATATAAAACTAGTCATCATCATCTATATAAAACTAGTCATCATCATCATCTATATAAAACTAGTCATCATTATTATCTATATAAAAACTATCATCATCTATATAAAACTAGGCATCATCATCTATATAAAACTAGTCATCATCATCATCTATATAAAACTAGTCATCATTATTATCTATATAAAACTAGTCATCATCATCATCTATATAAAACTAGGCATCATCATCTATATAAAACTAGTCATCATTATTATCTATATAAAACTAGTCATCATCATCATCTATATAAAACTAGTCATCATTATTATCTATATAAAACTAGTCATCATCATCTTCTATATAAAACTAGTCATCATCATCTATATAAAACTAGTCATCATCATCTATATAAAACTAGTCATCATTATTATCTATATAAAACTAGTCATCATCATCATCTATATAAAACTAGTCATCATCATCATCTATATAAAACTAGTCATCATTATCTATATAAAACTAGTCATCATTATTATCTATATAAAACTAGTCATCATCATCATCATCTATATAAAACTAGTCATCATTATTATCTATATAAAACTAGTCATCATCATCATCTATATAAAACTAGACATCATCATCTATATAAAACTAGTCATCATTATTATCTATATAAAACTAGTCATCATCATCATCTATATTAAACTAGTCATCATCATCATCTATATAAAACTAGTCATCATTATTATCTATATAAAACTAGTCATCATCATCATCTATATAAAACTAGTCATCATTATTATCTATATAAAACTAGTCATCATCATCATCTATACTCCCCCATCCTCCATAACAATTAAGTTACATATTTGATTTCCCTATTTATTGTATACATTTACAATACATTTGCATTCCTGTCCCTTTCTATTCTTTCTTTCACCTCCTTCCCCCCCCACCATTACACCCAATGACATGTCTTTCAATCATCCTACGCCTATTATTTTTTGAAATATAATTATGTAGGGTTCTTTGTGTTTTTTTTTTTTTTGTTTGTTTTTTTTTAAATAGAACGTTAAAGTGCTCATTTTAAAGTTATCGTCCGACGAGACAGCCAAGTCAAAACCGTGGTCGCGTATTTTAATTGACCGCCTGGTTTTAAACTTAAATTTACGACTAAAAGTCTGCGTGCTTGCGTGGTGCGTCGTCCACCGGGCGCATAATAATACTAATACTACTACTACTACTACTAATAATAATAATAACTTTTCGTTTCAGAAACTCAGATAGATAGAATGTCAGAAATTAGAGTGGATGAAAAACTGTAATCAAGACAATAAAAACGAGAAAACTGTCAGAAAGAATCAATTTTTAATCGTAATTACACACTCGAATGGAACACACGCTTAAACGTCCATGTTGTTTTTAACTCAATGTATTTGATTGCATTTCAGGCCTCATCGTCATGATTGATGCTCTGACCACTAAGCCAATTAAGTGATTGCCATTATCTATGACTCTAATGAGTGATTCTATGTGAATGGATTTTATCGCGGTGTTTGATGATGCAAGACGTTACTCTCTGCCTCCTAATCTACATTTCAAGTCACGCTCGGCCGACTTTCCAAGACCGACTTGTGGCTTTCTCTTGTCGATTTTCTGATCGCCTCTCGCATTAATGGCTCCAAAGGAGGAAGCTATATCTATGTGAAACGTCTGCAATTATCGATAAACCTTGCTACTCCAGATAATGAAGGTGGCCTCGAAAATTACACGCACGTTTATGTACACGTGCAGTCATTACAGCGCGGGGGGGGGGTACAAAGGAAAAGAAAGAACGAAGAAAAGTTACGCCCATTTTCCAGAGAGATTGTACACTTGAGACCGTTAATAAAGACCCGAGAAAGGGAAATCCTCAACGTTCGGATTGTTGTCACATGAGCCCAAGAGTTTTCATTTTTTTCTGTTATTTTATTGTCTTTTGGTCAAGTTAGTGGCCGCCTTGAAGACCCTATCTCACAGACCTTATTGTTGGTCATAAATCACGAAACACTTAAGACTGAGATAAAATCATACACTATTCCCTTTTATGTGGGTATACCGAACAAAGGGTCACAATGTGACGACAATAGAGGCCATCACATATCTTTCGTGAGAATGAAAGGCAATAAAAAATAAACGACTGTTAAAAATCATCATCATCATAATAATAATATAAAGTAATAAATGACTGTTAAAAATAATAATAATTATAAATGAACGATTGTGAAAAATCATCATTATCATAATAAAATAGAGTAATAAACTACTATTAAAAATCATCATCATTATATTAATAAAGTAATAAACGACTGTTAAAAATCATCATCATAATAATAATAATAAGATAAAGTGATAAAGGACTGTTAAAAATCATCACCAACATAATAACAAAATAAAGTAATAATCGACTGTTAAAAATCATAATAATAATAAGCGACTGTTAAAATCATCATTATCATAATAAAATAAAGCAATAAATTACTATTAAATATCATCATCATCATAATAATAAAGTAATAAACGACTGTTAAAAACCATCATCATAATAATAATAAAATAAAGTAATAAACGACTGTTAAAAACCATCGTCATCATAATAATAAAATAAAGTAATAATCGACTGTTAAATATCATCATCATCATAATAATAAAATAAAGTAATAAACTACTATTAAATATCGTCATCATCATAATAATAAAGTAATAAACGACTGTTAAATATCATCATCATCATAATAAAATAAACACAAAGTGCCTGCACACAACAGGGATCCACGGCTTTATGAAGGAGGGTGGGTGCCAGATTCGGACCAGATTATTTGTGTCCCGCTTCACGAGGTCCCTTTTCCAGGCTTCGGTTTGCTCATTGTTCATTACAATCAAAGCGGACATGTTACCTTATGGTCAAATACTGATGACCGAAGCGCCCGAAAAGGTAGCGGGACAATTTCTCGCACTAACCGAATTTATGCGTACGGGTCACCATATTTATTCTGTATTTGTGTAAAAACTATCATTCTGATGACGGTGATGATTTACGAATTTCAATCAGTTACACCTTCCCTCCCCCACCATCAACGCCGTACACACCACTGAATAATAATAATAATAATAAAAACATCGTGAACACATTGCAACGATGATCCTAATCAACGTTGTAGTTTTAGGATTAAACACACTCAAAAACTTACAATTCACTTACATTATTTACAATATTCGAACTGTTATCCTCATCTTCATTGCCATATTCACAACGTTTCGACCGTTGTACGCTCTGGCCTTCTTCGGGTGATTGGAATTTCGAACCGAACCCTTTGCTTCGTCCACGGAGGTAGATTGTTCTAGTTCCACGTGCCGTGCCTCTTCCGGATGTCTCAGTTATTGCCCTTTAACTCACCCCTCCAAGTTTTGGTTCACTACTGCTGTGAATCAAAACTTAGAGAGTTGAGTTGTAGTCATGGCAATGAAGATGAGGATAACAATCTGAATAATATAAATAATGCAAGTAATCATAATACCTCATCTCAGAGATATAGAGGTCGAAACGTTGTGATTATGGCAATGAAGATGAGGATAACAGTCCGAATAATATAAAAATGCAAGTAATCATAATACCTCATCTCAGAGATATAGAGGCCGGAACGTTGTGAATATGGCAATGAAGATAAGGATAACAGTCCGAATAATGTAAATAATGCAAGTAATCATAATGCTTCATCTCAGAGATATAGAGGCCGAAACGTTGTGAATATGGCAATGAAGATGAGGATAACAGTCCGAATAATGTAAATAATGCAAGTAATCATAATACCTCATCTCAGAGATATAGAGGCCGAAACGTTGTGAATATGGCAATGAAGATGAGGATAACAGTCCGAATAATGTAAATAATGCAAGTAATCATAATACCTCATCTCAGAGATATAGAGGCCGAAACGTTGTGAATATGGCAATGAAGATGAGGATAACAGTCTGAATAATGTAAATAATGCAAGTAATCATAATACCTCATCTCAGAGATATAGACAGAACTTACATCATCGTCGTCATCAAATTTCTGTTTCCGTGTTCATTCCGTAATGTTTTCATTCACTTACCTGAAAAGAAATAAAAAAAATAAGAATTAAAAACACTTTATAAAATAAATTTTCCATTGGAACTTCTCAAAAGTAATTTTGGTGTCCGAACTATTTACACAATATTCATTTATTATATTGTTTATTGGAATGTTTTGAAAAACATCAATCGATTCGAACTATATAAGCCAGTCAGTTATGTGCCATTCGTGATACCCGCTTAGACGATCATGTATCTCTCGATACATGACTGACGAGGCAGATTTTTCCCCGCAGTAGGCAATTTCGTTCTGCGGTAGACCAGTTGCCATCAAGGGCTACAGAACCCGGTCTATGCTGCTATTTATCCATAGGAGAAGAAGAGGATTCATACCTTTCCCAAGGGTATTAGCACGTAAGGGAATGTAATGGATTTGACTGAAATTCGAACTCGGCTCTCCGATTCTTCAATCCGAGCCGCTATCCATTACCACACCTTGCCTCCGAAATATATAAGATGATAAATATTAAGGACTGGTCCAGATATTTTAATAATTTATTAAATGTTTATTAATTTATGAATAAAAAAAGTTTTCATATTTATTTCTTTGTAAGTTGGTAAATGATAAATATTGCATTAGTTTTAATACAACTGTATTAGTTTTTACAATGTTGTAAATATAAGATTATTATTGTAAATAAACTAGCTAATATATAAATAGTGTTTAATATCTTTTGTTTTTAAATACTCAAGAGCAAAAATGCAAACGGCTTTTCTTGTAAGAAAAAAATTGGTATTTATAAACCAAGCAGCCAGTGCTGTTGTTAGAATTTATATAAAAAAAATTCACAAGTCATCCACTATCGCCTGAGGAAGTACGTTCATAGAATTGAAACATGAAGCTTTTGTGTAGCGATGTAAAATGTTTTTATTATAATCTATTATAATAAATTATTATAACAATAATCTATATATATATATATATATATATATATATATATATATATATATATATATATATATGTAAGCAAATATATGGATATAGATCCGACAGTATGCAATTATGCTGATTTAATATTTAATATCAACGTCGGACGTTTCGGTCTAGTAGACCATCTTCAGGACATATTCATAAAACATAATTAACATTAGACTATATTAAATTCAACATGAAAAGACGATGGACATAAGAGTAAGACTAATCAAAACAGACAACTGAAATTTTTCAAGATCAGCGTTCCGTTTCAATATGATCACGTCGGCGTCACGTGGGCGATGTTATGAAAACGTATTTTTTTTCCGTATATTTTTTTCTATATATATATATATATATATATATATATATATATATATGTTATTGCTTTAGCACTTTTACATGGTTGCATCCTAAATTTGCAGTAATCGGCTCTATAAAGACAGGTAATCTTCTGCTTATTTTCTTTTTAATCTGAAAATGGAAACAATATAATTTATAATATAATATCAAAAATAACTAAACCATTTTAATGATTTAATAGAAAACATTTATTTATATTTCCAGATTTAAATTCTGTTCTCGTCATATTTCTGTTCAGAAGTATGACGCTTTTTGACTCTAGTGTAACATCTGCCCTCCTTTACGGCAGCGAATGTTGGACGGCCTCCTCAAAGATGGAGACTCGAGGCGACAGAGATGTGGTTCTATAGAAGGATCGTAAGGATATCATGGACCGAGCGTGTGAGTAACGATGAGGTCTTATAGAAGATGCAAACAAGGAGGAGGCTTATACTTAACATCAGGAAGAAGCAGCTGAAGTTCCTGGGACACATAATGAGGAAGGAGGGCCTGGAGAATCTGATACTCACGGGTCGAAGAGAAGGAAAGAGAGACAAGGGAAAACAACGCATGACCTACCTAGCGGCCTTAAGCAAGTGGATGACAGAACGTGGTTTAGGAGAGGTGACAGAGAGAAGGAACTTGTTGAGAGCCGCAAGGGATAGAGGGAGGTGGAGAGCCGTGATCGCCTACGTCCTGAAAGGATACGACGCATAGAAAGAAAAAAAATCATCAGTTGTGTTATGGTTTCTTCACCACGTTCGAACTGACTCGATGCAGTTCCAAAGATCTCTCTTTCGCCTATTTTTTCTACACAGCTGCCGTATCTATCTTTTTTTTTTACTTTGTCTTTTTCTTTCTCTCCCGTTGACTGCTGTTTATTATTGTGGTGTCTGTCGTGTCTTTTACTAGGTTCACACGTAGTGTAAATAACATTTTACCTTGATCATCGGCTATTCATATATAAGATTATTTTTGGATCCAACAACCTGTTCACTAAGCTTTTATAATTTTAAGAATCGGTTCACACGAAACTGTGAGAACCAATAAGATGCCACCACTGCATAAATGTCTATATTTCTGATTAATGTTAGGTTCACACGTAGTGTAAATAATATTTTACCTCGATCATCGGCTATTCATATATAAGATTATTTTCGGATCCAACAACCTGTTCACTAAGCTTTTATAATTTTAAGAATCGGTTCACACGAAACTGTGAGAACCAATAAGATGCCACCACTGCATAAATGTCTATATTTCTGATTAATGTTAGGTTCACACGTAGTGTAAATAATATTTTACCTCGATCATCGGCTATTCATATATAAGATTATTTTTCGGATCCAACAACCTGTTCACTAAGCTTTTATAATTT